ATTGTCACATGCATGGCCTATTTCTAAACCCCCACAATATACTTGAACTCATAACCTCTTGCATGAAAGCTTAGGAGTAGGACTTACCCGGATAGATGATAATCTAGTGATTGGCTTCCTTGATTATTGAAGATTGGTGCAAGAATAGGTGATTAGAATGCTAGGTTTCCTCCTTCTCTCTCTCTAAAATACTCTTAACTCTCTCTAAAATCATTAGATATTTCCTTCTAAATGGGCCCCTAAGGCTATTTATCAAAATGTGATCGGGTTATAAAATAGGGAAATTGGACCCTCCGAACTCAGGTATGTGGTCGCAGAGTGGACCGAATAACAGATATGTGATCAGCAAAATGGACTGCGAAAGTGATGCCGAAATACTAGAATGGTCTGGACAGGTCTGCGGTCCGCAGACCACTTATGCGGCAGTATAATGGACTGCATAATCACCCAATAAAATTCTTTATACAAAATCTGCGATGGATGTGCAGACTGTGAAATGGATATGCGACTGCAGAATGGGCTGCAAAACGACCTTCAAAATTTGACCATTTTTCTACTCAACTCTGCGACGGGAATGCGGCCCGCATAATGGATCTGCGGTCGCGATTCTGACCGCATAACTGGCCCTTCAATAAAACATTTCCACCAACACCTCGATGCATTCTTTAACCCAAAAAGTCCGTACCGCAGCGAGGTTACTACTACATCTGTACACATTACCTAACCTCGGCACCACAAAACTAGAATTTATTGGCGAAATTTTACGGGGCCTTACATCCTCCCCCACTTAGTATCATTCGTCCTCGAATGAGGAGTAGAGTCCGCCCAGAACACCCAACATAATTCATTTCTCCTTTCACACATCACAAGCCCCCAAATTTGACTAACTCTTAAATTTTTCAGAAATTTTGGCAAAGTCACCCCTGTAATTGGGCCTATCTACCTACCAGAGAACCACCAAAACAACTCCTAGAAACACATCCACAACTCAACAAAGCATCACAATATATATCAACAATACTAATCTCAACATTAAAGGCATTACATTAACAGAAGTGGTACCTTGACATGAACTGTACATATTTTAAGTCATAACACATAGAAAGTACCTTTTGAACCACAGTCATTTGGCTCTACAAACGAGTGAGAATATTTTCTTCCCACAACATACTCGGCTATCGAGGAGACCTACTTGACTCATAGACTTAGCCATAGCGCTTGACGGAGGCAATCTCAACTTCTGGACTTATCTAACAAGGATGACAATTAGGTACATCTCATAAGCCAATTACTCATTAACTTTACCTTCCATAGCTCCCAGTAGAACGATAGACAAACGATTCCCAGCTATCCTCCTTGACGTAGACATATGAAACACAGGGTGCAAGGAGAACAACGATGGGGGACATCATCGCCGTGAAGATTAACTATTACGTCCGTACACATTACCTGACCTCGGCACCACAAAAGTAGAATTCCTTGGCAAAATTTTACGGGGCCTTAAAGGGGTGAGAGAAAGAAATTACATTTTTGGCTACATTTTGGGTTCTAGAGAGAAGGTGGAGCATCCTCAATTCCAAATACGCATCAAAGATGAGTTTTATGATATTTTTATAATGGATTAACACTAGTTAATGATAGTATTAACATCATAGGGATTCCTCTAATCTTCAAGAATCATTCAAAGGGGTTCAAGTTAGGGTTTGAGCTATAAGAGATAAATTCTCTACCCTACACTTAAATATAACTATGGATTAAGCATTTGGAATATATTATGAAGTAGAAAGTACCAATTGGTTGAAGAATTATGTTAGTCCTTGAAATGGGTATTGTGAGTTAGGGTTCTTGAATGGGGAAGAAGATGAATTGTGAATTTTTGAATCTTGTTAGGATGATTGGTGATTATACTACTTCAATAGCTTAATAATGATTAAGTATTGGATCCTATAACCTTGATTGGGAAATAAAGGCCAAGGATGGAATCATTTAATGATAAAAGGGATATGTTTGAGTGAATTGGGTTTTCGAGAACTTACAATCAACTTGTTAACCTTAAATGGGTATCGACATATATATATTTGGATAAGTTTTGATGTCTTGGGATATCTAATGTAGAGATTGGCTTGTTGGCGACGTTTGAGAGTTCTAAATGAATTGGAGCGTCATACTATTATTTAAAGCTTGGACTTGAGGTATATTGATTAAAACTTACTCTTCTAGAGGGATTTTCTCTAAAATCATATTTGAGCCATTACATGCGTTTGTTTGTAAATATGCATCCGTACTTGTGGGGACAAGCGGGGAAAGGATGTCACCATGTATTTTGAGTTTTGTTGCATAAAAGAATGTCTTGTTATTTTACAATTGAGAAATTCTATTTTTAAAGATTTGAAGGTAAATAACGCTTGCGGAAAATGTTATAACTTTTATTTAAACTTATGTATTGGAAAGAATATAAAGCATTTGAGTGATAAAGAGGTATTTTATGAAAAGTATTTCTTTTGAATCTTGATTAATGGATAACACTCGTCATATCTTTGAATGATGGCTGTTAAATCGCTAAAGGCTTTTACATGAAAAAGATCATATAATTGATTGTTTTATTCCAATGGTCTAGTTTGGCCATGAGCTATGATATGGTAAAAATAGATCATTTGAGGCAACTATGCTATGAATCTATTTTAGAGATTTCAAATATTTTGGGAGTTACTAGTGGAGACCACCGAGATTGGTTCAAATGTTGAGTTCGTTGCCATGGAATTACACGTGCCAGTGTAGGGACATATTCCAAGCTAAGCTGAGGTTTGTGGGATAAAGTCCCCCATTGAGAGGGCAAATGATCATTACTTAAAGTAATGAGGTTAAGTCGACTCGTACGGCACTACGGAAAGCCGCCCAGACAAGTATGGTCAAATACTTGTTGCTAGGTCTATCACATAGTAGTTGTTTATTATGTTGGTGTCAGTATAGTACTCCCGGTAAAAATTTAAGAGATAATTTTGTTATGTTTAGGCCTAAAGAGCCAAAAGTAATTTCAATGACTTAATGAAGATGAAATGGTTTCGTATGATTTTTTTAGAATCATGGATTTATATAAATATTTTAAAGGTTTGTATCATAATTTATTCTAGTCTTTTCATTTAAAATAATAAAGAGCATGAATTGATATAATTGTCATCATTTTATATTGAATGCTAGTTGCATTATTTTTGTTAAGCCTTGTCCCATGAACTTGAGATAGAGAGAGTCTATGACACTTATTGAGTACCGTTGTGATGTACTCAGCCCTCAGGGGCCCCTCTCCAGAGTTCTGCTTACTTTATATGTTTCAGGAGGAGGTATGGTATGTGATGAGTGGATGAGCCTAGGATGACTCTCTTTCCGAGGTGTATGGTGAGGCACCACTTCTATTTCGTGCTAGCTGCCATGTTGATTATTTACACTCTGTTGCTTGGGATTGTCCCAAATATTTATTTTATTCTCATGTCATAGAGATTCCATAGACTATTAGTATTATTTTGGGGTTGTAATTGATGGTCATTCATGTATCATGAAATGAAAGAGACATTGTTATCCTTATGTATTTTCAATTATTGAAAATGATGTATTTAAAGATTATACTTCATGTATGATTTTAATCATTTAAAATGATTATGTTTTCAAAAAGGCTTTCGCATGCATCTGTTAGTCATATAGATGGATATTCTAGTATGGGTTGGTTTGCCCGGGTTGGGTAGTGTGTCGGGTGCCGGTCACGTGGTCTTGGGTCGTGAAACTATCGGGTGCCGGTCACGTGGTCTTGGGTCGTGAAACTATGTGTGTAGAAGCAAATATTCATGTTATCTTTGATAAATCTAACAATTTGGCCGAGAAAGGTCTGCATGATGAAGATTATGACATAGGACTCATTGGTGATGAAGTCATAGGAATCTGAACCTCAGTATGAAGATGGATCCGAAGACCACAAGGAAATTGACAGTGATCATGAGGAACAAGAAGACGAAAGAACTGCTTTAACTGCTAACCAGATTAATGAAGCCACACCCACTAAACCTGTTCCTTTGGGTCACTCCTCCAATGAATCTTCTCTGGGTATAGAGACCAGACAATGGAAACATCAAAGTTCACATCCTCTTGAGAATATCATCTCTGATCCAAATGGAGGAATGCAAACCAGGTCTTCTCTAAGAAATCTATGTGCACTGACAATATTTCTCTCACAGGTTGAACCTAAGACCATCAAAGAAGCTATAAATGATCTAGACTGGATCATGGCCATGCAAGAAGAGCTAAATCAGTTTGAGAGAAACAAGCTCTGACACTTGGTACAGAGACCCAAGAATAAAACTGTCATAGGTACCAGATGGGTGTTTAGAAACAAGCTAGATGAACAAGGAAATATCACAAGGAACAAGGCCAGACTGGTGGTTAAGGGATACAATCAAGAGGAGGGCATTGACTATGATGAGTTTTTTGCACCTGTACCTAGAGTGGAAGCTATAATAATGTTGATAGCTTTTGCTGCCCATATGGAATTCACCTTATATCAGATGGATGTAAAGAGTGCATTTTTGAATGGTTATCTAAAGGAGGAAGTATTTGTCAAACAACCTCCTGGATTTGAAAGTGAAGAATTTCCTGACTATGTGTTCAAACTGGATAAATCTCTTTATGGACTGAAACAGGCTCTAAAAGCTTGGTATGAAAGACTCTCAAAGTTCCTCTTAGCCAAACTTTGTAAGAGAAAAGGTGGACAACACTCTATTTCTAAGGAGTAAAAGGAAAAATATTCTGATTGTGCAAGTGTATGTGGATGACATTATCTTTGGGGTTACCAATGAAGTAATGTGCAAGAATTTGCTGAGATGATGGGAAATGAGTTTGAAATGAGCATGATGGGTGAATTGAACTTCTTTCTAGGGCTGCAAATCAAGAAAACACCTACTGGAACCATGATATATCAGCAGAAATATATCAAGGAACTACTGAAGTAGTTCAACATGGACTCCTATGAGTTCATTGACACTCCCATTGCAACTGCAACAAAGCTGGATCTTGATGACGATAGGAAAAGTGTGGGACAGAAACTATATAGAGGAATGATTGGGTCACTGTTGTACCTCACAACAAGCAGGCATGATATTGTATTCATTGTGGGATTATGTGCAAGATTTCAGGCAAATCCCAAGGAATCTCACCTGAAGGCTATCAAAAGGATACTACGATATCTCAAGGGGACCCCTGACCTCTGTCTATGGTATCCCAGAGGGTATAGCTTTGATCTAGTTGGTTATGCTGATGCTGACTATGCAGGTTTTCATGTTGACAGGAAAAGCACTTCAGGAATAGCTCATTTTCTAGGTTCTTGTTTGGTGTCTTGGGGAACTAAGAAGCAAAACTCAATGGCCTTATCTACAGCTGAGGCTGAATATGTGGCAGCAACATCCTATTATGCTCAGTTGCTATGAATAAGACAATAACTAATGGACTATGGTATATTTGTTAATTGTATTTCCATTTTCTGTGACAACACCAATGCTATAAACATTGCTAAAAATCCATGTCAGCACAAAAAAACCAAGCACATTGGCATTAGACATCTCTTTCTCAGAGACAATATTGAAAAGAGGAATATCTCAATTAACTTTTGTAAAGCAGAAGATCAAATTGCTGATATTTTTACTAAAGCTCTAAGTAGGGATCACTTTGAAAGGAACATACTAGAACTAGGTCTAATCAACTCTTCCAACTAAGTTGAATCCTAATGATTGGCTAGAAAAGGCATAATTAGATGTAGATAATTAAGTACAATGTGTTTGATTCAGTTTTGTACTTGTATTAAGCTCACACACTTGCTTGGAAAATTTGGCTGATAACTGTATTGTATGATACTAATATGAAGTGCTGAAGCTTTATTGCAGAAATAAATAAGGAGTTACTAAGGAGTTGGTTCTTTGACTCAGGTACGTGCCATATTGTTTTAAGTCATTAGGTCTTAATATCCTAAAATTATTGCTATGCTCAGACTTCTAATTCTATTGGCATCACTTCCAGTCATCTTCTAGTCAAAGAGTAAGGGGGAATCCTAGTGCAATTAGAGTTCACTTACTCCTAAAATCCTAACAATCAAAGTAACCGTTATAAGAGTCCCGTTAGAACTCAGATTTGGTCACCTTCTGTCTTCCAGTCAAATCAGGAGTAACGTCTTTAAAAGGCCTCTACGATTAGCTTCTCAGACCTCATTGTTTCTCTCAAACCCTAAGCAAGAATCAAGAGAAAATATCAAGAACTAACTCTCCCTCTCTCTTCTTCGAGTCTCTAATATGATCACCATGCCTAAAGCCAGTCAAACCCCAACTAAAGACAAATCATCAACCAAGGCTGAAGAAAAATCCAAAATCATGAAGCCCAAATCATAAAAAAGTGCCAAGCCTTCAAGGGAACCCACACCCACACCTGCTCCTTCTCCTTCGATATCCTCCGTTGTACCTACATCATCATCCCCTATTCCTGCTGCTCTTACTATCTTCACCTCCACAGTACCCCCACTTCTAAAACCAACCACCCATGCACCTGAGCTTACTGCGAAAAATACCTCTAAGTCAACAAAGGTCAAGGCTACTCCAAGAAAATCTATCAAGTGCCTGATGCTGCTACATAGGTAGACACATTAGTCAAGGAATCTGTGATTCAGGGAGAATTAGTGCCAATCATTACTGATCAGGTACAACATCCTCCTTTGAAATTATATATTTTGGTATTCGTTATAGATGTTGCACCCCTAGATACTCTCCCACCCATGGGTGAGAAAACACAAGTGGAGAAATTCACTGTGGAAAAGGGTGTAGGTGATCTGGGGAAGGAGGTAGATACTACTACTGTGGAGCCTATGGTTAAGGGGGAAAGAAGTAAAGAACCTGTGCAAAAAGAAGCTTCTGATGATCTTTCATTTAGTTGGACTGAGAATAAGGATAATGATGGGGGTGAAAAAGAAGAAGAAGATGTGAACAGTCATGAAGAGAATGATGCTCAAAACATAGCCAATGAAGAAGAAAAGAGTGAGAATGAGGGAGCATCTAGAGATGAGAAGGAGAGTGATACAGATTATGAGACATGTGAATAAGTAAATGACTCTGCAGAAGAAGAAAATCATAGTGAAGAAGAGGACAACTCTGAAAGTAAGGGTGAGGATCAAGAAAAGGTAAGTGAGTGTGAAAGAGCTGATGAAGAGAGTGAGAAAGAAAATGAGAATGTGAGTGAGGAATTTGAAGGCTCTATGACCAATGGGAACACTGTGATAGCCCCTTCAGAAGAAACTGGTGAAGAGACAAGGGCTCAAGAACCTGGGTCTATGTTAACTTCTTTCACTGGAGATTAAGAAGTTAACAGTGATGAAGATGAACCAGGAAGACTCATGTGAAAGCTACAAAGTCAGCAGTCCCAACAAGGAAATGAGTGGTTCCTCCTGCCATGACTCCTCTTACAAGGAGTAAAAGAAAGGTTGTTGATGAACAAGTCATTAAAGAGTCTAGAAGTGCAAAGAAGCCAAGGAAGAAGGTCTCAATTGTGGAACCTGTTGTTGAGCTGGATTGAGAAGATGAGTCTGAATCTGCCTTGCCAGCTAAGTCCTCTACACCAAAGAGAAAGGTTTCCAAAGTTACAAAAAATGGCTACCCCTTCTGCAATGGCTAGTAGGGGTAAGACAAGAAAGAATGTGATAGTTGCAGTTGATCGACTCACAGAGTTCAGCAACAAAAAAGTGCTAAATGGAAGATTCTTGCAAACACTGATGAGAAGGGGATGGCTCAACTGGTCGAAAAACTTGAGCTACAGGGGTGGAAGCACATGTTTGTCAAAGATTTTCCTCTTGTATGTGTTCCTGTTGTGTGGAGTTCTATTCAAATTTCAACTTTGATGGGAAGGTAGTCAAGAGTAAGTTAGGGGGATTTGAAATGAAGTTTGATGTTGAGGAGTTGGGGAAGCTTCTGAATATCTCTTCTTTGGGATTTGACAATTGCTTGAAGAAAAAGTGGCCAGCCATAGACAATGATGTTGACAGTAGCATTGTGGTCACAAGGAAGTTTTCTCAAAAGTTTGAACTAGATTTTCCCCAAAAAGTGTACAAGACTGATATGACTCTCTTCCACAAGTTATTGTTTCATTTTGTCAATTCCTGCATTCTTTAGAGTTCTGAGAGAAGGCATGAAGCTACTCTGCTGGACATGGCTGTAATGGAACTGCTTGACACTGGTAGACCTATCAATCTCTCTAGCCTGATGATTCAGCATATGGCAAGAGCTACAGACACCTCCAAACCTAAGCATGCTATGCCTTATGGTTTCATGTTGACTGAGTTGTTTAACAAGCTCAACATTACCTTACCTAAGCTTAAGTTTGGAAACAACAATGACGTTTTGGATGTTGTTACCCTCAAGCAGTATGGGTATGGGGAGATCAAGGCTAGAGGACCCACAAGATCTGCTATTCTACCTGGGAGCAAGAGGGTTGCAGAGCTCAGCAAGAGGTTGGAGTTGGCTGTTGAGGAGAATGCCAAGCTTCGTGAAGACGATGATGAGCTGAGAAATGAAACAAGGCAACTTAGGGAAGAGCTTAGAAGAGATATTGAAGCTCATTCCCAATATATTGCCACCCTTTTGAAAGCATTGATTCCCTTTACTTCTCACCAATTAACTTGTTCCTTCCTAGTGTCCTTAGTTTCCTTTGTTATTCCAGTGATGCCTTATCTTTTTTTCTTCTTCTTCTTAGTCTGAGTAGTTTGCAGTATGCTTAGTATATTTTGTTCTAATAGTTAAGACGAGACCCTGGGCTTCTTTTGGCACTACTTAATGTCTCCTCTTGTTTTGCTTTACTGCTTTGTACAATATTGGATCTTCAGCCTAGTCTGTTTGCCTTGATATTTCTTAAGCTTGTGATGTAGCCTGTTTGGCCTTAAATCTTAAATTATATTTGCTTAATGTCTAATTTTTTTTTTTTCGATGATTCCCAAAGGGGATGGTAAGGTTGGAAGGGTTATGAACATACATGTATGTCAATAGTACTTGTTGTGATACCTGAATCTGCTGTATATAAAGTTTATCATCATCAAAAAGGGAGAATTTGTTGAGTATTGAAGTTTAGATTATTAACAAAGTATGTCTAAATGCTCAAAGAACCAGGTCCTCAATGTAGCTACTTACTTGTTCTAAAGAACCAGCTCCCCTGGATAAAGGGCCGAATCCTCATGTTGATAATTGTACATCTGTACAAGACAGTAACTTTACCTCAAAGTTACCCAGGTCCGAGTTTGGTGGAAGGTGACTGCTATATGTGATAAGGGTTGTTGTTCAAGAAGATACGGATAATTCAGTCAGAGACAAAAGTCCCAAAGCATGTGGAATCCTTGGAGCATAAGGAGTCTTATCAAAGGAGAAACTAACTATGAATAAGACTCCTAGAAGATCTCAATGAAAAGTGTTTAAATACGATCTACTTTGGACTTCTGTCGTTATCTTTTTACACATCAACTGAAGAGTCCTAAGTCGATTACTCCAGTCGAGTACTTGCATTGTATTCTTCTTGAGTCAGTCGAGTGAATGTGTTTTAGGAAATCGAGTTGTAATCAAGTGTCATAAACAATTGGTGAGTTGGAGTGAATGTTTGCTTTACAAGTTAGAGTAACTTGTAAATCAAATTATCGTAGTAGGAGTACTGGAGAGTATTGAATTGCATTCTTGTAATTGATGCATTTTTGGCTCATTATTCTAGTGGAGTTGAAGTTGAAAATTCTATGCAGTATGTCGGTGTTTTTGCATTTTTTGAGCCAGTTAATTTTTCACATAAAAATTGATATGTTTAATTTATTGCTTATTTACTTCACGTTTAAGGAACGCAACAAAGAACCAAGTTCTTTAATAATTCATAGGGGTACTCAAATTAACAAGCTTACTCGTGATTCGTGTAATCTAAAGGCAAAGTGTTTAACTGAACAATTGCATAAAGTTAACTTCAACTCAATATTTAAAAGCAACAAGGTTTATCGTAAAGATCCCAATGCGCACCCAGTGAAAATTAGATAATCTGTAAACAAACTCCGCAAGTTGATTAGATTTTCTTAATCTTACTTAGAATTTTCACACCGAATAAAAGGAACATTGCGTCCGAAGAACTTGCAAGCACATGGGCATCCCCCGATAAATAGCTGTTTAGGCATCTGCTTAAGGGATTAGGGAGAATACTAAGCTTCTATTCCTTAAATTGCACATTAATTACTCTGCTTGAGCATCAAGTTAAGCATCACATGTACGGACCTCAAGACATGCATGTTAATGGCTTTCTTTCTGTCCACTCTATATTTGTTAACGCTTAAATATTTAAACATACCCTCCAGTACTGCTGCCAAATGAGCGTGTCGAATCAAACAGACAGGTTGAAAACGGATAATATAAGTACATGCATCTTGAATAAGAGTGTAGAGGAATCAATGTAAGAAAATAAATTTAGTAAAAATGCTTACCATCTCCTGCTTAATTTTATATGTAGCTGAAGATAAAAATAATGGTTGCAAAGCAAACTCACAAAGGAAATATTATATCACTGTTTTACTTGTGTAGTTGGATTTGAATCTTAAGCTATGAATTTATATCACTGTTTTACTTGTGTAGTTGGATTTGAATCTTAAGCTATGAATTTAATTGGCAAACCAATTGACTACAATCTTGGTTAAAAAATGTCCTTTTGATTGACAAAACAAGTAGTAGTAAGCGGTGTTTTAAAAGGCGTGGGCGTAAGGCAAGACGTTTTACATATGTCTCAGCAGGGCGTAAGTCCCATAGGTATTTAATTTTTAATATTTTATAAATAATATAATGACAGTAAATATTTATAAACAGGTAAAATTGCATAAAAATTGAAGAAAACTATATATATGTGTGCTCCATCCCCACAAAAAACTAATCAAAATAATTTATCATACGTTACTTACAAGCACAAGTAATTTGAGTCTAAAAAAATAAAGTTTTCTATAAGGAGAAACAAAAAGGATGATTAACCTGCAATTTGAACTTTGAATTTGTTGCTATGAAGAAGAATGTAGTTCTCTTTGTATTTGTAAAAAAAAATTAAATATTCGTTGCTTTTGGGAGATATTAGCAGACTAGCAGACAAGATAAAAAATTAGGAAAACCATGAATTAGGGCTTAAATCAATAAAAAAAGGTCTTTACTTTTAAATTTAATACTTTTGAGTTCTTTATATACCTTTTGAGTAATTACCAAACTGACTTTTGAGAATTTAGGTATTATATGAAGGACTAATTCAACAAATTTTGTTTTAATTTGAAAAAGTATCTAGGCTTACTCCTTACTAAAAAAACACACCCGGGCGTATGCCCCGAACGCCCGGGCGTACGCCCCGAACTCCTAGGCGTACGCCCCAAATTGCGGGGCGTACGCCTCTTGAGACTTTCGCCTCACACCATCGCCCCGGGACGTTTTTGGTATGCTTCGCTCCGGGACTCGCCCCAGAAACGCCTTTTAAAACGGTGATAGTAAGTACATATTAATGTAATTACATCGGATAACAAAGTTTAATTCATATTTGATCCATTTAAATAAATCAATTGACCAACACATTTTTAACTAGGGGTTGGATGGATACTATATATAATTTTTATCCATTTTGCTTGCACTACCCTCCAGCAATCATCATCAAGTGGGGGGAAAATAATTGACATACTAATTCTTGCTTTGCGCCAATATGAAATCTTGTAATTTGAATCTTAGTTGAACTTGTATATAGCGCATATATAATCACGTTCATTAAGCAGCTCAACAAAGTCCACCTACATGTTTCAGAAGAATTCATACTTTACTTAAACGACTGCTCTCATAATTGTCACATTAATGAAACTCATGAATTCAGCGTAAAACCAGAGAGATCATTAGTCTTTCTCTATTTAAATATTGAGTGCATTTTCAGTGATCCACTAAACAAGGATCTCAAAACAAAGGAAGGACACACCGGCATTTTAATTTGAATATGAACATTGATTTAATTTTCTTATTTGTGGTTTCATATCTTATAACTGTGATTTTGCCACCCCAATATTTCAGAATCCAACTGTCATTTGACATTGCACTTCTCTTCTATCTATACTAGTATAAGAACTCACTAAACTTATCAGCCTTAAATGTTTTCTTAGCTAGTTCCTCTCGTTACCCTAACACAACACTATCACACCATTACACAATGACAATATATAAGTTCAATTCTTTACTACTCCTGTTCTTTTCTCTATCTTTGTTCCTACACCAATCTTTAGCAATTGATGAAGAAACAAGTAATGACATTAACTGGTGGTGTAGCAAAACTCCTCACCCCGAGCCATGTAAATACTTCATGTCCGGAGATTCTTTCAAACCCCAAAACAAATCCGAATTTCGAACAATGACAGTCCAAGTTGCATTGGATCATGTGATTCAAGTACAGGCCCATGCAAAAAACGTAAGCCAATATTGCAGGGGAAAACGTAAGCAGTTAGTATGGATGGATTGTGACAAGCTAATGGATGATACAGTTCTCCAATTAAACCGTAGTCTTGACGGGATTAAATCAAATTCAAGTTCAGATTTTGATGCTCAAACTTGGCTTAGTGCATCTATGACAAACATTGAAACATGTTTATCCGGATCAAATGACCTCAATGTTTCCAATATCCTACAGCCGAATTTGTCCACTAATGTTTCGCAGCTGATTAGTAACTGTTTGGCTATGAATGGGGAGTTCGTGGACTGGGAAAATACAACACAAGTTGGTGGATTTCCAAATTGGCTCACGGCTAGTGAAAGAGTGTTGTTACATTCCTCGTCGATAGATTTGATGGCTACGAAGGCTAATTATGTGGTGGCTAAAGATAGATCGGGTCATTTTCGGTCTATTCAGTCTGCAATTAATTATGCAACTTCAAGAAGAGTTGGAAATCAGAGGATTGTGATATACATCAAAAGGGGTGTTTATAGAGAGAATATATTGATAGGTCCAACTATGGGGAAGATTATGTTAGTTGGTGATGGCTTGAGATACACTGTAATCACAGGCAGCCGCAGTGTTGCTGCAGGTTACACAACTTACAGTACTGCAACTCTTGGTAATGACTCTCGAACTCTCTCTCAGTTTCCTTTCAGTTTTGAGTTATCTTTCCTTTTAGATCTTTAAGGTTTTTGGGTGAAAATGATCTTAAGATTTCAAGCATTGAAATAGATTAATATTGCATGATTGTAAAAGCATGAAGTAAGGGGCTTGTTTAAAAAGGTAGCAACTAGTAAAGCTAGATAGCATCGGCATATTCTATTATCGGGCTTAACTGAATCCATAACTGAGTATAAATTTATGTGAAAAAGTTCACAAAAATTATAAAAATAATAGATATAAACCTCATAACTTTAAAAATATCATGTGCTTAGTGCTAAAACTTTTAAAAGTTGAACTTATAGAATTTAAATCCTAAATCCGCCTCTCACTACATAAAACTCAAAGAGCAGAGGAGAGATTAGGAGGATTTCCATTTAGAATGAACAAGCTTTTAGGAAATGTGTCAAGGGATTTGCTTTTGAAGTTGTAGATTTCTTTACTTTTTGTGTTATAGTTGAACCCCAACATATGAATTTATAAAATACTAAATAAATAGAATGCGAGTTAAGTACTCCAAATAGCCATAATTGTTTCAAGCATAGGGTGTGAATCAACTCCATAATGACGGCTGGATCAGAATCTACTTTTTATTAAACTTAATGTATTAAGGTCAAAAGAAATTTAAGCTAATTAAAAGTCATAGCTATTTTGGCGGGTTATTTGTTGCATTCAATAACTGTCATGTGCAATTATTCTTAGGCTTGTTCGCGAGGGAACAATCTGATTTTCAAACTACTAAAATTTAGCTTTCATGTCAGATCTTATTTTTTTACAAAAGTATCCTTCTGCTGTGAAGATGTGCTGAGATTAAGGAATGCAATAAAAATTAAATACTTGCTTAATAAGGTTGTTTTGTCTGACATGGATTATATATTGATATTTTCGTAGAATATTTCCTTTGTACATTTATAAATTTTAAGTAGTAGCTTTTAGGAGATGATATTTCTGAGAAGATGTAGGTTTCCTTTTCCTTTGGTGTAATGGTTGATGCCCGCCATAGAAGTTAGAGAATGCTAGTTAACTCCAAATTTGCATAACTTTTTGAATATCGGAAGTGAACCAACCCCCCTAATATATACAGGCTGGATCATAATCTGCTTTTTGTTAAATTAATAATAAAGGAAAAAGGGTGGGGGAGGGTTTTGGGGNATTTTGGCGGATCATTTTGTTGCATTCAATTCCATTCACGTGCAACAATTCTTAGGCTTGTTCTCGAGGGAACAGTCTGCATTTTCAAACTACTAAAATATATTTTTTTCATGTCAGAATTTAGTTTTCAAATAAAAAAGAACGTTCCTTTCCGTGGCGAAACCAGGAAATTCAACAAGGGTGTTTAAACTTTTGTCAATGGGCTATGTAAGGATGTTCAAAGTCTATTTTTAATCAATAACAAGTAATATTTTACCTTATACGGAGTATAATTTTCCGGCGAAGAGTGGTCAGTTGATCACCCTTGGTTGCACGTAGCTTCGCCCCTGGACTTCCTTCTCCTATGAACATGTTCGCTGAGATTGAGAAACGGGGTTGACATACTCACAACTAAAAAAATAAGTATTTGGTACATTATAAGGTATTTATTTTTGAAAAGGTACGGATCATGGATATTTTCTCGCAATATTCGGTATCAATATATGAAACAAGTCTTATCAAGAAATGTAGTACTGCATCCCAATTGCATTAGATATTTGATTTAATGCGTAGTTTTTGCATGTCTAACCTCTAAATGACTGTCTCATCCAAAGAAACTGATTTGATCAAGTGATCCAGCTCAATAGCTTAAACCTCAACTTTCGTAAGCTAACAAGAGCTGTACACTTGCTTTGGGGGTTATGCTAACCATAAATTAATGTGCAAGTTAATTTATTAGGACCTACTTATATTCATTAACATTGTAATGAATTTCTATATTAGCAGTCTAGTTTAACTTTTTATAACAAGTTAGTTACACCCTTTTACAAGTTATCAAAACATGCTTGCTGCGGTATTTAAAGTTGAATTTAAAATAATTCGATAGTGTTAAAATTCTTTATAGTTAGTAAACAATATTAAACCACTAAGCGTTAATTTAGCTTAGTGGATTAGTATCCTGTAAAACAAGGTAGATTACCTGTTACTACACCAAAACAGGCTGATAATGTAAATTTTTCATAAATTTTCCTCTCGGTGTATATAAATTTAATCCAAACATTAGTTATTCACTTTTTTCGTTTACAAATTATGATGCTTTAGGGGTGGACGGGATTGGATTCATTGCTCGAGGCATCACATTCCGAAACACAGCAGGGCCACAAAATGGCCAAGCAGTAGCTCTTCGATCCGCATCAGATCTTTCAGTGTTCTACGGCTGTGGTTTCGAAGGATACCAAGATACCCTTTTTGTCCAATCCCAACGTCAGTTCTACAAATCATGTTATATCTACGGCACCATAGACTTCATCTTCGGCAACGCCGCAGTTGTTTTCCAAAATTGCATGATTTACGTTCGAAGGCCCTTATGGGGTCAAGTGAACGTAATCACAGCACAAGGCAGAAACGACCCTTTTCAGAACACTGCAATTTCAATTCATAACTCTCGGATAATGGCAGCACCTGATCTTCGGCCCGTGGTTCAGTCGTTTCAGACATATTTGGGACGTCCGTGGCAGCAATATTCAAGAACGATTATAATGAAGACTTATATTGACAGTTTAGTAAACCGAGCAGGTTGGTTAACTTGGTTAGATTCTAATTTTGCTTTGAGCACTTTGTACTATGCGGAATATGGTAATATTGGACCAGCGGCTTCAACAAGGTATAGGGTGAAATGGCCTGGTTATCATGTGATAAAGAGTGGTAATGTTGCTTCGAAATATACTGTTGCTAGCCTTATTGCTGGAAGGGCATGGCTGCCTTCTACTGGTGTGCCATTCACTGCGGGGCTCTAAACAAGTGTTATACTACTCTTTTATTTGTATTGTTAATTTTCTTCTTATTTTTTCATTGATTTTTTTCGTACGTGTCATGTCATTATGACACATAAATGGATACTATGGAGTATGGAGTATTATTTGCCCACACTTTCTTTGTCCGTTTCCTAGTTTTATGTGCAAATTGTTATAGTTCCGAACATCCTAGAATCTTTAAAAGAATAGTCGGTCAGATTTACTGTTTATTTTTTCGAACCGGTATCATAGACTATAAATTAATTATATATATATTATACATTTATCGTCTATTTTTATTTAAGCGGTTGAACGACTATTTAAGTTAACCAAACTACTAGCTAGAGCATCCCTCACTTGTTTATGAGTTTTTTTTAAGTTTACTATTTGCGGTTTTCTAACGTCTCAAATTTAGGACTTGGTTCCGGCCTTGTTTCGTAGTCATCAATTTATGAACTTGAATACTTCTAATACTGAATTCCTTTTTATAAATTCAACTTGACTTCTATCTACTTGGAATAAAGAAAAATGGTATTCAATTGTGGGCCAAAAAATTAAAGAGGTAGACCTAGTGCCTTCCAATTGGATCAGAAGGTCATCTAGCTCTAAGTTTGTGGATTAAGAGCATGCAAGCCAGATCTACTTAAGAAATGAATGCGTTCTCCTAAAGAATTGATAGACGCGTACCATTGTCTATTTTAGTATTCGCTAAGATTGGCTACTTATAGGTTGTTTGACCAACCTTCTAAAGTCTCAAAAGTATCTTTTTAAAAAGTGCTTTTGGTGAGAAGCAATTTGTGTTTGGCTAATTAATTTGAAAAGCATTTTTGAACAGTAATTAGTGTTTAGCCAAGTTTTTAAAAACTGTTTCTAAGTGTATTTTTTTCAAAAGTACTTCTCAAAAAAGTGTTTTTGAAGAGAAGCTATTTTTTTCTGTTTCTCAAAAACTGCTTCTACTTCTCCTCAAAAGCACTTTTTTTTCTTCCAAAAACTTGGCCAAACACCTCAATTTTTAGCCAAAAAAAAAAAAACACCTTTGGCCCAAAAAAAAACTTGGCCAAAAAGACTATTAAGCGGTTAAGCCCAAAATAAATTTTTCACAAGAATAACCTACAAGAAAAGATGAAGAATTTTTTTTTTTTGGGTCAAAGGGGGTTTATTATGGACCCCTACCATTTACATTATTCCAAAGCTTCAATACATACAAAAGATGGAGGGGGGCATGAAAGCCTGACCTCCATGTAAGAGAATAGGATACTGGAACCAGTTTCCTAGTTAAAATTAATGGTCGAGAATCTGAGAGTTCTATGTACTAGTACATTTTAAATTCAAGCAACAAAAACTAAAACATAGTACTAGTACTATTTCTCAGAACTTCAAGGAGGGTTAAAACACCAGGTGGAGTTTTTTTTAGCTCTTCTCTTGAAGGATAGAAGCTGCAAATTGTTCATTCTCAAAGGTCCTTTAGCTTCCCGAGGGAGATCGTTCTCATGTAAATATATTTTGTTCTCCTCTATAGTGGTGGCTACCTTTTCCAGAGCATCAGTCACCTCATTTCCTTCTCTATATCAATGATTCACTTGGATGTTTCTCTGCTTCATCTTTTCCTGGATAGCTTCAATTATTGACTTGTTGATCATATCACCATGAGATTCCAATTAAAGCTGCTTGAGCTTCACTAAAATGGTTGGTGTAGAATTGGGTGGTATATGCAAAAGCCATAATCATGTCCCCATTTCTATTTTTAACAATTCCCCCAGCTCCTGCCTTATTTTGAGAATTCATATAGCTGCCATCTGTATTGAGTTTGCACGAATTACTAGTCGGCCTTTTCCGGTTCACCGTGATACTGGTAGTTCTTGGTTTTTAATTTTCTGCTATAGAGCAAACATCTTTCCAGTTCCAGATGTGCTCTATTTTGTTGAATGTCTTCACCATTGTCACCTTTACCTAAAATAGAAAATGGTGATAAATGCTACTATTAGAAGATATTTGTGTTTGCTCATACTTACTCTTGCACCTTGCTTTCCAGATTTCACTATGCTAGGGGTGATGTGGAGAAGATACTCGTGGACATAGTTTTTAGCCGGTGCCTTCCACCACTACCAAAAGCAATTTAGGACATTATCTCCTGTGAACATAATCCTTAGCGGAGTAGAGATTTGCCTCTAGGCCTGTTTGACATTGCCGCTTCCAATATATACATGAGCGGTGGTCTCATTCTTGGGAACCCTGCAACAAGAACATCTTGAAACCATGTTAAAACCAAACCTATGTATAAAGTCATCAAAAGGTAATTTCTTTTTTAGGAAGTTTCCATATGAAGAATGAAATTTTGAAAGGAATGTTTTTAATCCAGATGTAAGAAGTTATAGGAAGGGCCTGTTTTTTCTTTCTTAGGAATTGGAAGACTAAGGAACATGAGAAAGAACCATTTAGAGAGAGGTTCCATATAGGCTATAGCCTTGTCATTGAAAGCAGGATCCCCAAAAATGTTAATATCACTAATAATATTCATAAGATAACATGGAATATCATAGGTGGTGTTGCCCAGGTCCCAATGATTATCATGAACAAAGGAGCAGACTTTCTCATTGCCAGGTTTAGGAGTAGGTTCTAGTAAGTGGAAGAGGGAGTCTTTACAAGTTCAATTATCTCACCAAAAAAGACTATTTCCTTTGTTGATTTTCCAACTGATGTTTTGCTCAATCCTCTCTGTAATGGTGAGAAGATCTTTCCAACTGCTGGATTCCTTGTAGCTGATCACTTTAGAGAGTAGATTGCTCCTTTGACAGCATTTTGATTTAAGGAATTCAGACCAAAGAGAGTTTCAGTTATCAATCTCCATCACCTCTTAGCAGAGAATGAGTTACATATATCAAGTAAGCTCTTGAATCCTAAACCTCCTTCCTCTTTAGGGTAACACATCTTAGAGTTCCAGTTGTATGGGGTAAAATTGGTTAGCGATAGTTGGACAAATGAGGAGGTGACATGTGGAACTGAAGACAAGTAAGATGTGAGTTCGCAAGTAGTTGGCACTGGATACAAGTATGTGATCGGTGTTGTGTGAAATCTGAAGGCATGGGAACCGATAACAAATATTTCAAGAAATGACATCGGATAGCATTCAATAAGCAACCGTTATAGAGAATCTCCACATTTACAGCCAACAGTTGTGTGTCCATCAATGATGGTTTAATTCTCATTCAAGAAGAGATTGATTTGGGGATATTGTCTCCCTCAGTAGAACTATAAATAAGAGAATTAGTATCCATTGTAGGACACACAATATTTTGTACACAAGCGCTAAAATCATCTCTCATTTTATAGACTGCTCTTTTAATATTGCTCTTGTATTTCTTTTATGTTTATTTTATAATCTTACTTCTGTTCTTATCTATTTTATATTTTTGGGTCAAATTAATTCACGTGTTGTTCCATTCATCTGTTACTAACAAATTTTGATTCCTTTCTTAGAAAAAGTAAAAATCATATATGGCAGCTAATGATGTCAACAATTTCTATAATATTGGAGCACACAACGAATGTGAGGATGTATTCCAACATGATGATCAACCAACGAAACACGAAATGAAGGAGATGAAACAACTCCAGTTAGAAGGTCAAAATACTCGCCATGTGAGGAGTCCAACTCTTGATGATGGAAATGACGAATATGTTGTTGAAACGGTCAAAATCTTGAGAGAGCAACAAAGGGCAATTACGGATCATCTCTCAAGAGAAGACCAGGTGATGACTGAATTGAAGCAGGCATTATTGGTTGCTTCTAATAATTCTAATAGAGGAGCTCAGATACCTCCTAGCATCCTTGCAAATCAAGCAGTTCAAAGAACCAGTAACGACCTTCCAAGGGAGGAGTTTGGTTTTAACGAGGCAGGAGGTACCGGTAGTGGATCTGGGAACAACAATAATGCAATCGACCCTTTCAAAACCGATCCCATGAGGTGCTAAAGGTACCAGATTCCATGAAATATACACAGTTGTCATTCAAACAAAGTGCAGCCCCAGAGTTGATTCTGAAAAGATTTAAGATGCCGGATATCCTGAAATATCATGGGACTTCGTATCCACAGGAGCATATCATGATCTACACTACTGTTGTGAAGGTAAATGACTTTCCCTAGCACGAGGTCGAAATGGTCTTGTTGAAACTTTTTTGCAAAACTCTGACGAAGGGTGAGGCCCCTCAAATTTCTTATTAGTATGAGGCCATAAGCACGCTCATAAGTCGCTTAAGTGTCGTCTTGCCTTCTAGGAGGGGTTAAGGACTGTAAAAACTTAGATGATCATCATATTAAGCGTAGGAGTTCTATTTGATATTGTTGAGGGCCTAAGTAGATACCTAAAACTAAGCCATGTTGGGAGCTATGCAATGGGCTAAAGTTTTAGATAAATTCGCACAAGATACGACTTCAAACACATGTTGCTACCAAACTATAAATACTTATGTAGTGATATACCTATCAAATTAAATCCCTTTGAGTCTAGTTTCCAACGTATCAAACCGTTTGGCATTTGGATATTTTTACAAAATGTTATGGCCATTTTACTGGCCCTATGCCATATGCGGGCCCAAATGCGTGGCTGTGCATATTGGAGGGTATTCTGCCTTGTGTGTGCGGCCAGATATGTGGTCACTTGCCCAGGTGCGCGATCGCACACGTAGGAGTCTTATAAATACCCCAAGGCCGGGTAGAGAGAGTGGCTAAGAAATTTCTTTGAGCTAGGGCTTGCTCTATCAAGTGAAATCCATCATATACTTTCATGCCATGAGCCAAGGTAATGTTTTTGGTGTATTTTGAGTTGATTACTACTCCTAAACACTTATATTAACAAAGATTAATCTTGAAGATCCATATATTTCTATTCAAATCCCCAAATTGGTCAAGAACACTACAAGTTAGGATTCTAAAGAGTTTCACTATAAGAGGTATGTCTACCATCTCTAACTAATCTATGGTGATTAATTATGTATGAAATATATATTATGACTTATGGGATGGTGATTGGAAGCCATAAGTGCTTAAACTAGGTTGTGTTGGGATTGTAAAGATTGTAAAGTGAATTAATTGATAATATTTATGGGCTGGGAGTGAAGTGTTGGGCATGCATGTGCTAATGGAAGTTGTGAGGTGAATCATTGGTGTGGAAGGTGGT